CTTCCCATTGGCGGTGGAAGGAGGGGGGTGTGGGAATAATTTCTCCTAATAACTTCCCTCCCTCAACAAGAGGGATAATGAGACTCTAGCCCAGATATTACAAACCAGATGCCTGAGGGCAAAATTCTGAGCTGTTTTGGCCATACTCTATTTTTACTACTAGCCAACACTTTACAAAATCTAGAATTTTCACGTAAAAACCCAACTTCCTATCTATAGGTACACTGACAACACCAGGCCCACAGTCCCAGAAGCCGTAACTGGTTGGAGCCGACCAACAGCGTTCCATGGGACATGTGTTCTCTGCTTTGCCACAGTCTCCACTCCTCCCTTTCGTAGCACCGGGAGCACTTTACAAATGTACATAACCTACCTGACCCCTGTGAGATGTGAACTTTGCAGTCCACCCTCAAGGTCTCAAAGGTTGGCTGCCTTTCTGGGATTCGGAAAGGATTCATTCTTTCAGATTTCCCAAAGAACAAGGGAAATCATGACATGTCTGTAGCTTCTCCTGTTGTTACATCCCTGCGGAGGCCCTCAGTGGGAAAGCAGGGAAAACTGGACACAGGCGCCCAGCTTTCCCATCTCACGTGGCCTGCAGCAGTGGTCCACCCACATGTTAAGAAATATTCTCACCCTTATTTTTGTGTTTTCGGTTTTTTGGGTTTTTTTTTTTTTTTGATACGGAGTCTCCCTCTGTCACCCAGGCTGGAGTGCAGTGGCTCAATCTCAGCTCACTGCAACCTCCACCTCTCAGGTTCAAGCAATTCTCCTGCCTCAACCTCCTGAGTAGCTGGGATTACAGGTGTGCACCACCACACCCAGCTAATTTTTGTATTTTTAGTAGAGATGGGGTTTCACCATGTTGGCCAGGCTGGTCTCGAACTCCTGATCTCAGGTGATCTGCCCACCTCAGCCTCCCAAAGTGCTAGGATTACAGGCATGAGCCACCACGACTGGCCCTCACCCTTGTTAAAAGACAGACTTTACGACTTTACTCAGGACTATCATGATAGGGACAGGGACCACCGCAATGGGATTGTGCAGCAGGACAGAGAGACAGGGGAAAGTGGGAGTTGTTAGCCATGCAGCAGGGTAGGAGGCTCGGTGGATGGAAAATGATTCAGATGAAACGGGTCATGGGGATTCTGGCTACACTGAACTAAGAGGGTTCTTGCTGAAGGCAGGCCAAGGCTATGGTGGAGGCGAGGATTTGGTCAGATATGGAGGGTGATCCACTGTTGAGGGTGGCGCATTCTGACTAAACTGACTTAGCAGGATTCTTGCCCAATCTTAGCAGGATTCTTGCCCAATTTTAAAGGATATGTCTAAGGATAGAGCCTCATTGAAAAACAGCTCAGAGGAGGCTGGGCTAGAGTTTGGTCAAGGATAGAATCTTTGTCACAACATCTCCTCTCCTCACAGACAGGCCTCTCTCCAAAAGGCTAGAAGGACTGTGCCTGGCTGTAAATGGCTATAAAACGCCTGCCTCTTTCCCCACAATTCAAGGAGACTGAAGGGAAGACAGCAGAATGCCAGGAGCAGGGCAGCTCCTTAGAGCACGGGGAGGCCCTGAGCGGCAGCCCTGGAAGCTGTGATGCGCAGTCAGTTCCAACAGCAAAAAGAAGGGAGCTGGCCCCAAGGGAACAGGGGACTAGGAGTTTGACACTCAGAAGGAACCAGCAGATTCCGCCCTCGGCACAGAGAGCATGTGATTTGTGCGGGGGGGTGCCAGCTCGAGGAGTGGCAGTCACAATACAAGGTGACAAAACAATGGTGAACCTAGGTTTCAGGCCTGGGTTCCATACCGAATATGTTTATATTTATATCACGACAATCACAGATGGGAGGTTGTATCTCGCATCATAGAAAAATACTAGATATTGGGAGGCCAAGGCAGGCAGATTGCTTGAACTCAGGAGTTCAAGACCAGCCTGGGCAACATGACGAAGCCCCATCTCTACAAAAATACAAAAATTAGCTGGGGGTGGTGGTGTGCGCCTGTAGTCCCAGCTACTTGGGAGGCTGAGGTAGGAGGATCGCTTGAGCCTGGGAGGCAGAGGTTGCAGTGAGCCAAGATTGTACCATTGCACTCCAGCCTGGGTGACAGAGCAAGACCTTGTCCAAAAAAAAAAAAAGCAATGCACAGGCCAGGTGTGGTGGCTCAGGCCTGTAATCCCAGCACTTTGGGAGGTCAAAGCAGGTGAATCACCTGAGGTCAGGAGTTCGAGACCAGCCAGGAGATGGAGGCAGTGAGCCAAGATCATGCCACTGCACTCCAGCCTGGATGACAGAGCAAGACTCCATCTCAAAAAAAAAAAAAAAAAAAAGCAATGCACACAATTAAAGGTTGTTGGGTAACTTCAAAGCCCTGAAAGACACTAGCAAGTCTTCCAATGAATCTGAGTTTCAAAGAAGGTCTGAGATAGAGAAAGACCTTCTTCCTGGGCCCCCCAGTTACCATATACTCTCCAGTCAGCTGTGCTCTCCCAAGCACCTTTGCATAGTGAACAAAGTGCACAGCCATGATCAGCACTATTTCTTCTATTAAACAGTGTGGAATCTATGACAAGTTTATTGCTCACTGAGCACAGGGAGTGGGGCCTGTGAAGTGGGTCCAGTGAACCCAACAGGTATTACTCACTGCTCTGCAATATTCATGGTGCTGGAGATACTCAGCACCCTGGGGTGTAGACTGAGGAGGAAGGGCTAGGCTGAAGGGCAATCTTTCAAAGAATGGAAGTTGTTAAGGCCTCTGGTTGCAGTGGGTGGACAGTGGGCAGAGTGAGAAAGGAGTAACAGTGATGTTAACTAGCATTTAGTAAGTACTTTCTCCATAAGAGACTCCATGTAAATCACTTTATAAGTATTGTCCCATTGCATCTTCCCCAAATGAGGTATGTACTGTATTATCCCCATTTCACAGGGAAAGAAACTAAGGTTGAAGCAAGTTACATGACCTGCCCAGGCCTCAATGGTAATAAATGGTAGAACTTAAGTCCCAAGAGTCTGGAAACAACCAAACATAAGGGAAGGGCAAAGGAGGCAGAGGCAGAAAAACGAGAAGCTCCCAAAGCGGGTGACTTTAGAGGAGGGAGGTGGCAAAGCAGCCAAGGGGCTGAGCTCTGGGCAGAAAAGGAAGGAGACTAAGCCTCAGGAGGGGCCCCAGGATGGCAGCAGAGGGGAAGACATTTCCCAGGAGCCACGAAGGCTGAAAGCAAACTGTGGGCTGATGGGGAATGAATGGGGGATGAGGAAGTGTAGACATGGAGAACATGGATGCCTTTACCAAGAAGCCGGGCTTTGGAATAAAGGTCAACAGTAACAAACCCCTTCAATGTGTAATTTCATTGTTAGGCCAAACTGGAAGAGAGCCAAAAGCCACCAGGAGCCCAGTCCAAATGTCACCTGCCCACCACACACAGCAGGCTTCCTGTGGTACGAACTATTCACCCCAAATCAGCCTCTTCCCCAGAGCAAACGCCTACCCTGTTGGTATATTTGTAATCCCTTTCCTGCTTGCCAAGGTGCTAGAAGTAATTGTACAGGTATGAGCTGGCCAGCCATTGTGCAGCAACCCTCTATGCAGACACAGAATGTCCTGAGCACACCAGGAACTGCAGACGCCAGTGCCCCACATGACTTCTAGAACTTCCAAGTGCCCACTGACAACATCCTCCATAAATGCCCCATGAGAGCAATGCTTTTTTGCCTTGGAAACCCCTTTTATACCATCCAGTCTCTCCCAGATCCCTGACCTGAGGGATCAAGGAAAGTTGGTTTGTTTTTAGAAAGCAGCCATTCTTGACAAAATGCACACCAAGATTGGCAGCTAGCTGCATTCCAGGGCCCCCATAAGAAGCTAACTCCTCTCCTTCCAACTCCTCTACTTTCAAAGCAAGATGTAGTTTGGGGACAAAATCAGGGAAAGGAGAAACAGGATTTCTTCTCTCCCCGCCACCCGCCATCAGGCTACCAGACTTTTTAAGGGTAGAGATATGCTCAGATTTTCTCTGAGGGGTTAAATACACAAAAAATACTTCATAAGCGTCCAACGGGATAATTATAAATTACTGGAGAAAAGCTTTTCTTTCTTCAATCCTCATAGCCCTCTTCAAAGAAATCCACAGAGCTGGAAAAATATAGGAGACAAAAGAGGTAAAGACGAATCTAGGGCAAAAACGAAGTGGAAACTTCCCAGTCATGTTCTTGAATGCTAAGCTGAGCCCTGATTCAACAAACACTTTGCATGTGATTCCTAAAATCAATCTTTTCTTTTTCACTTAAAACAACAATGCCTACAGGCTCACATTTTATAGAACAGTGGTGAAAGAGAATTGAAAATATAATTCAAACATATTTTACACCTAACTGAAAAGAACAAACATTTAGAGAAGTGAAAGTCACTGAAACAGGCCTCCCTTGTGCTTTTCTTCAAAGATTTGCTGATGTCGGCTTAGAAGTGAGTTAGAGAAAGGATTAAATACAAAGGAGGGGAGGGGTTCTCTCATCAGCCACCCATGAGAATTGGGAGTTTCGGGCTCAGGCCAGAGAGGCGACTGCCCCTGCCTGGGGACCTCCACCTCGGCCACCTTTTCCCACCTGCACAGCCCCTTCCCACATCAAACTGCACTTAGGAAGGTCAATAATGGTGCTGGTGGTCACATATTCCCTAACGTTCCTGGGTTCAGTTGCTGCTATGTCTTTTTAGATGCTAATTTTATGCTTCACTCAAAGGTTTTCCAAAGAAAGAGGCTTTTAAGTAATGAAAGAATGAATGGGGTTTAAAGCCCTGGCAAGCTGATACTGATCAGTCTCTGGAAAGGTACAAAGCACGCTGTAGAACGGGTTTGGCATGTTTGCAACAGAGGAGGCGTCACTGCCACAGGAAACTTAGCAAGCGCCCATTTCCCAGTAGAGTTTATTTATCTCAAAAGGTTTCTTCCCTGTCCAGGTATTATTACCACAGGAGACTGGGAAGAATCACCAGATGAAAATGCCTACATTTAAATACTTAAGGTTCCTTGCAAAGCAAGGAAGGTTTTCTATGATTGAATTTAATATATTAGTTTCATTGTAGAACGATTTTTAACCAGTCTTGTCCGAGACTCAGAATTTTGGTTGACTTTTATACTTAAATTTACCACAGAATTTTCTTTCCATTTGTAAGATTTAAGTGTTTAACAAGTACTTGCTGGTAAAGGGGCTAACACAAGCACCGATGAGTCACACTAGAACTGTTTACACACTAAAAGGCTGAGATGGGGGAAGCGCAGAGAGGGATATTCTCTGGGGAAAAGATAGAGGCTAGGATGTGCCACCCCTCGGCCGGCCGAGCAGATGGACAGCACTACTGCTGCTGTCCCAGCCACCACGGAAGCGCAGACACCCGCTTCGAGTGGTTTATCTTCACTTCTTCCTCTTAAAAAAAAAAAAAAAAAAAAATCAAATATACACAAAGGCATAAAAAGTAACACAACCAGCACCTTTTACTCCCCCAACACCCAGCTTAAGAAATAAAACATGATAAAAACAGCTCCCAGCACAACCCTAACCCTAATCTAATCTCTTCCCTCCCTTCAAGTAACAATTCCTACCCTAAATTGATTATTCTCATTTCCACGGACTTCTTTTTTTCTTTTTTTTTGAGACGGAGTTTTGCTCTTTGGTCCAGGCTGGAGTGCAGCGGCGGGATCTCAGCTCACTGCAACCTCCGCCCCCATCCCCCCACCATCCCCCGAGGTCACCGAGGTCCAGGGATCGAGACCCATCTCCTCGGCTAACAATGGGTGAAAACCCGTCTCCCACTAAAAAGATACAACACAATTCACTCCGGCATGGTGGCGGGCGCCTGTAAGTCCCAGCTACTCGCGGTCGCCCTGCGGCAGGGAATGCGCTGTTGAACCCAGGAGGCCGGAGCTTGCAGTGAGCCGGAAGATCCGCCAGCTGCCATTCCAGCCTGCGGCGACAGAGCGAGACTCCGTCTCAAAAAAAAAAAAAAAGATCGAGACCATCCTGGCAACAGCGTGAAACTCCGTCTCTACTAAAATACAAAAATTCAGCCTGGGGCGTGCTGTGCGGGCGCCTGTAGTCCCCAGCTACTCTGGGAGTGAGGCAGGAGATCGGCCGTGAACGTGGGAGGCGGAGGTTGCAGTGACCCGAGATCGCGCCACTGCCCACTCCAGTGTGGCACGCAGAGCGAGAACTCCGGTCATCAAAAAAACAAAAGAAAAAGTGCAATTATCAACAACCTACCCCTAACATAGTGTCTCCGCGACTGTTTCACATACTGTTGTACAAAGAAGTCACGGGCCGGGGCGCGAGTCTCACGCCTGTAATCCAGCACTTTCAGAGGGGCCCGAGCGAGGGTGGATCATCTGAGGTAGAGTTTGGAGACCGAGCCATGGCCAAACATAGCGAAACCC